CGAAAATCTTTGATCTCATGACTTTTAGTAGAACGAAATCTAAATGATATCAGCGCCAGCACAAGTTTTAGTAGAAAAAATAAATTGAAAATGAAAATTACGAAGTATTTTCAACTTATTTCATACAATCGTTTCTAAAACATTTCATTTGAAATCTTCAATATTAAAATTCTATATAAAGTAATCAGAAAGGATAATAATTAAGCATGTACATAATAATTTCTAATAATATAATACATAATAATTTCTATTTCATTCTAATAAAAATCATGAGACAAAAGATTTTCAAGCATGAATTTATTTCAAGCTTTGCGATTTCAAGAACTTCAGCACCAAATTTGTAAAATTTTGATATATTTCACATATATTTTTTCAAAATTAATTTTAATGAAAGAAAAAAAATGTGATTTATTTTGAACAAAAAATTTTAACACATATGTATTTTGTATTTTTCATGCTTTGATCTACTCTAACTTATTTTTAAAAATAAATCAGAAATGAAATATATGTGTCCGGTAAAATGAATAATTAAAAAATATTTTATAAATTTGCGTTGTTTAGATTGACGTTTGTTAAAAATTTTATGCATATTTCGTATTTGATTTTTTACTTAAATGTTCAGAAATATACATGATGGAATCACCGAACTTTGTTAAATGTTGAATCTATAACAGAAAACTGGATAATTTGAAACAATTAACTGATCCAAAATAAGCTCTCGCAAACAAAAATACGATAATTACTGCTAAAGTTGACTCAAAGTTGTGAAAATTTAAATTATGTAAAAACAGTCGAATGACAAAAAATGAAAGTACCCCGCTATCATTTGAATTAAATATTCTGATTTAAGTAACTGTAAAACCACGGTTGATTAATTGTTAATACTGTAAATTTGCTGATACCGCAAAACAACTATGTATAAAACATATTTTCCTTTGTTATTTTTTTATGTTTGTATATAGCCGTGTCATAGATATTTGCATATTTTGAGCAATATATGTACCGTATACACACAATGTAGTCATATATACTGTATATACACGCGTGCATATACTGTATCTTAATATGCTTGCAGTATACGTACTGTATCTCATAAAATGGTTATTGGAATGTTGAAGTAATGATAAAGACAAATGAAATAAAAATCTAATCATTATTATCATCAATTTCCTACTTCACACATAAGAAGGAAGTAGGACAAGTAAATGCAGAGGGGACGGTGAGATGCGAGAGCAGAGCGAAAGTACAGGTGATAAAAAAATACCGTTTAATCACAGCAAGATAATGAATGAAAGGAATTAACCGATATAAACCTTTATAAAACTTTCCTCCACCATAAAAATTTTATTTCATTATATGCAATGTACAATCTATGGCATCACATTACTGCACCATTTTTCCATTGTATGCAACGATAATAGTGATGGCAATTTTTTTTGATATAATTTTTCATAAAAAAACCAAACATTTAAAATCTTCACAAATTTAATGATGAAAATTGAGATAAACTGATAAAATAAGAACAAGATGTAAAGATTATACAATAGTTGTTTTGGAAAAATTAAGTGACGATGTGCATATTCCTTTTATCAATCTTGCATACAAATACATTAGCAACATTAAACGCGAAATTTTTTTCAAGATGAATAAAATATAAAATTTGATCAAAATTTCGAATGATTTAAAAGAAAAGGAAAAATTGTTTGAAAAAGATACATAGCTCTTTGTTAATAGCTAAACATTTTGAAAACTACTACAGGCCATGTGCACTGATAAGGAAGGAATGATACAATGAAGTTTGCTTGGCAAAGAGAAAATCAATCAAATAATAAATTCAGGAAATTTCGATTTCGAATTTATAGCAAGGTATCACGCACTACAGATATAAGTGTTGTTATCAGGTACTTCATAATACTTCATACTTAATATTTTAAAAAAGTATTTATACTTAATATTTTAAAAAAGGTACTTCATACTTAGTATTTTAAAAAAGTCCATTTAAATTTAATAAATAATTTTACGAGTCTATTTAAAGTTTACATCTTTCTGGCACATTATCATTATAATCTTGAGCAAATATTCATTTGCTGAAGAATTCAAGCTAATTTTCTGTCTTGAAACTTCTATACGGAAATTATGTTCTAATGTTATGAAGATGTGGTTAATAATTAGTATGAAATTTCTTGGGAATGAGTAATCTATACTATAACTTGAATCAATGATCGATGATAGTATTAATAGGATGTCTGATAATGATGACTTACAACTGCATATTTGAGCGAGGCTCTCAATGTTAATCGATAAAAATGTGTTACTTAGGATTTTAAACTTTCTTAAAATTTTTGATTGAGGTTTTAAAATTTAATAATTTGCAGATACATGAATCAAAATAGAAATTAATTTTGAAAAAATATGTGCAAAAAATAATATGCATATAATAAAATAAAAAGGCAGAACGAGTAAAGGCGGAATGAAAACATAAAATAAATCTAAATGATTTCAAAATTGCGAAATAAATAAACAACTATAGAAAAATATCTGAATAATAACATTCATAACTGTATAAATAAAATAATTTAGGAAAATTCTCCATAAAATAATTTAGGACAGCTAAGATTACGTGAGACCACGTGTGAGATGCGTAATACGCGCAATGTTAACAAAAAAAGCGGTTTAAAAGTAGTTAATATTGCAATGAATGCTAAACAAAAGAAGTAAAAGGCATATGAACAATAAAGCTAAAATCTTTGAGAACATAAACTTTTGAATGATATTTACACGGTACCACAATTCAACTTTTTGAGAACGATATTGCGAATATTAATTGGTTTTCATAACGAACTAGTGCTTAAGTGAGAATGAGGATGTTATTAATTAAGGAACAAAAAAACAGCAATATTCCTCAAAAATAAAATCATTTTAAAGAATTCCATATATTTTGATATTAAATTTCAATGCTAATACTGTTTTAAAGTGTTCAAATTTTATGAAAATTCATTTAAAATATGGATAAAACTGATGCATATAAACTTTCTTTCTTCTCATCATACAGCATACTAACTAAAAAAAGTGAACAAGTAATTGTTTTCATTGTTACTATTCATACCTGTGTGTCAATCATAACCACTCTTAATCATTTTCAACAATTCTTGAATTGCCACATGAAAAGAGCCAACAATTTTCCCTCAGAAAAGGAAATAATGCATAATATTTGCACTTTACTCTCTTAATGTTATACTTATTAACCAAATCCAATACTCAGGGAAGGACTTCAGAAATCATCAACTGTTTGTTCAATTTCACGCTGTATAGTGGATGCTTTGTAGCGATTCTTCAGAGCTTTTTCACCGATTTGCTCCGCAAATAATTGCATTTTGTCGCGAAATCCTAGTTTGGAACCATCAATCTGAA